TTTGCAAACCTTGATGACTGCTCTGAATATTACTCGTGCATCTCGCTTCAATCTGGGTGGCTGCAGAGGCTGTTCATGTGCCCAAATGGAACCTTGTTCAACGAGGCAACGGGAGCTTGTGAAGATCCTTGCAAGCGGACAATGGTGTGCTATGAGGAAGGCAGGTTCCCAGATCCCCTCGACCGCCGTAGCTACTACGAATGCCTGATTATTGGTGGGCTGATGAAGCGTGCCCGTACCAGTGCCCCCATGGTTATGTGTGGAAGGCTAACGACTCTGGTGATGGAGGAGCGTGTGTGGAGGACCACGAGATGAATCTGTATGACTACTTCACCCGCTGTAGCATTCCACAGGGGATGTGTCCTGATGAGACTACAGGTATGTAGATTCTAGTTGAAATTTGATTAAAGGTACAAGCTTTTCCTTTGAATGTTTGGCCATTGAGCAGCAAACTATATCTAAACAGATAGTTGAAGATTGATTTTAGTGCCCGATAAATGTGGGGTCCACCAGTTGGGGGGGAGTGGAACCTTAAAAGAACGTATATTGCTGAAATTTTGTTTGGTAGATTTCCAGTGCTTGATATGCTGCAGAAATGCTCCTGTGATGTCTAAGAAATGTGTAATATAACCTTACTTGGTCAAGTCATTACTTTCAGATCCCTGTCTGGCAAACAACGGCGGCTGCAATGCCAATGCAGACTGCTTAACAATTAATGGAGGTGTGAGTTGCACTTGCAGAGCAGGGTACAGTGGTGATGGATATACATGTATAGGTGAGTTTGCACAAATAAAATCTTGGCAAATTTTATATAGCTAAGTAAGGTACACACCGCACAATACATTCCTTGCACTATATCCCCAGATGTTGATGAATGTGCTGTGGCCAACGGCGGATGTTCTGCAAGTGCCACGTGTACAAACTCTGATGGCAGTTTCCAGTGCAGTTGCTTAGCAGGATACACTGGTGACGGCTTCACCTGCATTGGTGAGTGCTTGCAAAAGCGGATGCTTTTTTGCCTTCAAGTAATTGAGGTTGGTTAATGACTGGTCTTGTACCTACAGATGTTGACGAGTGCTTGGTTGCCAATGGTGGATGTGGTGCAAATGCTTTTGTAGCAATACTCCAGGCAGCCGTGACTGCACCTGTAAATCAGGTTCACTGGGGATGGCCTAGTTTGCACAGGCAAGTATAAAGGAAATGTAAAAATTCTAGCATTAATTACCCTTGATTGTTAATTTATATTGGGTACCTTCTGAAATGCCTTGCAGACGTTGACGAGTGTCTGGTGGCTAATGGTGGATGCCATGCTAATGCGGACTGTAAAAAATGATGTTGGTGGCAGAACTTGCACTGTCATCCTGGTTACACTGGTGATGGACTTCAATGTACTGGTAAGAAAACTGAAAATGCATAATTGTAAAATCTGTTTATTGTATAGTGGACTAAGGAATCTAATGCCATCAAATATGCTGTATTACATATTCCTATTTGTGCTACTAACCCACTTGCCTTAACAGTAAGGATAGATACCTAGTACTTGACTGTCTAGTTCTTTAGTAATTACCATCTACAGTGATAATCTATGACCAGCCCTTCTAAGCGTTTGGAAAGCTTAGACCGAATAAAGCAACTTTACTAGGCCAGAAGTAAACTAGGCTAGACTGACTGGTGTAAATCTAAGGTTAATGCTAAGCCATCTAACAAGCAATGAGGCCTTAAAATCTTAGCCATAGGATGGAAAGAAGTTTATCACCCTAGTTTTGCATACTTTAATGCTTTGCATGTCACCCCATTGAAAGGTGTATACCTTGCCCTAAGGGTATGGGTGAATTCCAACTTCTAGAAGTGGGCAAGGTCAAAGCCCAAAATACTAACCTTTTTGGAATTTGGGGTTGTGATCAGTATTGAATATTTCGACAGCTCGTAGTATCTTTATAAACTGGATATGCTGCAGAATAAACTTGCTGGAGGATCACACTCCATTTATTGTGAGCAGTGGATTGCTCTTGGCTTTATGATTCTTTTTATTGAGCTGGAAATGTTTCAGAGGTGGACGAATGTCTGGTTGCCAACGGTGTTGCGACGCAAATGCCCGTTGCAGCAATACTCCAGGCAGCCGTGACTGCACCTGTAAATCAGGATTCACTGGGGATGGCATAGTTTGCACAGGCGAGTACCTTAGCAATTGTAAACTCGTAAGTGTTTTATGACTTGCTCAAAGTCAGGACTAGACTATATTTAGTAAACGGCTACAATTTCATCCTCCAGATGTGGATGAGTGTTTGGTAGCTAATGGTGGGTGCCATGCTAAAGCTAAGTGTACAAACACTGCTGGCAGCAGAACTTGTTCTTGCCTTGCTGGTTATACAGGTGATGGAAAAGTGTGCCAGCCCCTCAAGGTAAGTATTTATGATAGTTGGGATTTAGGTGTTAATTCATAACCAACTAATAGTAACTTTAATTCCTGAATAATAACATGTCTTTCTCCACTTCCAGTGCCCTGTTGGTTTGCTGGTGAAGGTGCAGAGTGTGCTCCGGACTCTGACCTTGATGGCTACCCAGACACTGAACTGAGCTGTTCAAGCAAGTACTGCCGTAAGGATAACTGCGTCAATAGGCCCAACTCCGGACAAGAGGATGCCGATGGTGATAAGATTGGCGATGCTTGTGATAATGATGCTGATGGAGATGGACATGACAATAATAAGGTATGAAAGACTAACTGGGAATGCTAGGATCTTGTATGCCAACACTTGTCCACCATGAACATTCCATTTGCTCCTGCATTCCAGGATAACTGTCCCCTGATAGCCAACCCTGGCCAAAGCGACAAGGATAAGGATAAACGTGGAAATAAATGTGACAACTGCCCTGATGACTCCAACCCCAACCAAAGCGATATTGATGGGGACGGAAAAGGCGACAAATGCGACAACGATATTGATAATGATGGTATGCTTGTTACTTTAATTCTTGACTGATGGCTTCCACTCCCCTTTCGTCTTGGCCAAGAGTCTTCCATGTCCCACCTGTTCCCTCAGGATTGCTAAATGGTGCAGACAATTGTCCTAAGGTAGCTAATGGCAACCAAGCTGACAGTGATGGAGATGGTATTGGAGATGCTTGCGACAACTGCCCTCAGCACGCCAACCAAGGGCAAAGTGATAAGGATGAAGATCTCCTAGGGAATGCCTGTGATGATGACGTGGACACTGACAGGTATGGATTGATGAATTGCTTTAATTGTTTAACCTGGCAAATGTAAATCTAATGATGGCCAATACAACTTCTGCCTTCTGTTGCAGTGATGGTGTGGAGGACAGTGTGGACAACTGTCCAAATGTGGCCAATAGTGACCAGCAAGAGACGTAGATGGTGATGGTAAAGGTGATGCATGTGATACAGACAATGACAATGATGGTGTACTTGACAAGAATGACAACTGCGAACTAATCCCAAATAAGCAGCAGAAGGATACCGACGGGGATGGTTTTGGTGACGCCTGCAGTGATGACAAGGATGGTGACAAGGTCTTAGATCCGGATGACAACTGCATTTATAACCCTAATGTGCACAGCACCGACTTCAGGTAGGTCAGCTTAGCGAGTTTTTGAAGGAAGCCCCAATACAACTAGGGCAGCCACTTGAACATCTTTAAATTGGCAGACATCTGCAAATGGTGGCACTAGACCCGCAAACGGCATCTACTCCTCCGGTATGGGTCGTCTATGACAACGGTGCAGAAATTCATCAGACCGTGAACTCTGACCCAGCTATAGCAGTGGGTATGTATGATGGAAAGGTTTGAAATGCCAGACGTCTAAATGGGTCTGCATAAATGTGGCATAAAATAATTGTAATGTAACTGCAGGTGACCACGTTCTGGGCGATGTCGACTTTGAGGGGACCTTCTTCATTGAAGACACGAGTGATGACGATTTTGTTGGCTTTATATTCGGGTAAGTATTGTTAATCCACTGAAATGTTAAATTGCCAATGAAAGATTGGCCCTCACATATTTTTATCCTCCAACAGTTACCAAAGCAATGCCAAGTTCTATGTTGTGAGTTGGAAAAAAGCACCACAAAACTGGTTCAACAAGGCCGAGAGAGGCGTTACTCTGAAGCTAGTAAACTCTAACACGGGCCCTGGCACGAAACTTAGGGATGCCTTGTGGTTCACTGGGTCTACACCAAACCAGGTAGCTATACTTTGGGTAACCAAAGGCATGCAAGATTTGTTCAGCCATACAACTAGCTCACGATATAGCTAGCATGTCGGGAGTAACCATCCTGGTTTAATGGTGTGGTGGTTGGCTTTCAGGCACAATTGCTCTGGCATGATGGCAGCCTTGGATGGAAACCCAAGGTTGCCTACCGCTGGCTGCTTCACCACCGGCCTGATATTGGAACCATAAGGTTCTACTTGTACCAGGGAAATAACCAGGTCATGGACTCTGGAAACATTTATGACAGCACCCTGAAAGGAGGCAGACTGGGACTCTTCTGCTTCTCCCAGGAAGAAATTATATGGTCCAACATGGAGTATAAATGTGGAGGTAAGACTACCAATAAATTGGGCTGCCCCTCCATGTGGGAGCCTCTAGCATAGGTAATGGGTATAACTGATTTGGCTGTTAGGAAACTTGGTCTACTACTTGTATGCTGCCTAAAGGGTTGGCTAGAGGGTTATGACCTACCTCTTTAGATGCGCACAAGTCTGCCCTCTCTTAACTTGCCAAGCACTTTGTTTAAAATACTTTGGACATATTCTGCCTGGAATAAGCATACTAAAATCCTCTTCCTCCCACAGAGGGTGTACCCCAGGCGATGTTCAATGACTTGCCTGCAAACCTACAGAATCAGGTTCTGAGCTCTTAAATTAATTTCGAGTAAACGGACTAGATGGTCTTGCACACGGATCGACACGTCTTGAAGATCACTTCTTATTGAGAGACCCTAGTCTTGTATTTTTATATTAAATAATTTTAAATTAAAGCTACTTTTATTTGTACAGGTGTACACCCTACCTTAAATGACTAAGAACATCTGGAGTCTCTTTTGCATCCTATACCACCTTATCCATGAAAGAGGGTGGACCAGAACTACCTCATTGTATAATCCTTGATTATGTATCAAGATAACTATTGGTTTGCCCAAGCCTCGTCATAATTTCGTCAAATAGGCCACTTAATACCTTGACAAGGCATGATTATTAAACATACCGACAGAAATCATGATTTAGGGGTTAAGAGTTGGAATTTGAGGCCTAGTCAGACGAGGCAAAGGAATATTTGATGTCCAGATCAAGCTGGGAAAGTTTGCTTGGTGGTATTGGCATTATATCGTCATAATTTTGCATCCATGTTTAGTGGTTGCGGTATTGATATTGATCTTTTTTTTAAACGGCGGATTTTTTACTTTCCACGTGATTACATCAATGACGGGACGTAGGCATTGCTGATGTATGCAAAAGCAGGCCTATACACCCGAACATATTCTCTATTCCTCTCCGAATGATAAGGGAAGGTAAGCGCAAATAAGAATTCCTAAACTGTTAGAATCCTGATTAAAGAATGTATACAGATTTAGATTGTAATAGTGATTTCTCTGGTATACAAGGGCTTGTGGGTTCCACATATAAACAAATGAAACGGCAGTATGTGTTTTTTATTTATATACAGGTTTATATAACCGTATACACTCGCCTTTAAAATTACCATGCCTAAAAGGCGGAGTATATAATCAGATTAAAATGGCGAAAGGTATATAGTATAAGCAATAGACTGTATGTATATACAAGATCCTTGCTTAAATGCTATTTTAGAATAGCAACATAATGCTTGAAGCTACTGCATGTACTCCTTTTGAAAGACACAGGTGAATCCTTGCATACCTGGGATGAAATGTACTATGAATACAAAGGCCCCAACTTCCCAGCGCCACCTACATATTTGTATTAGGCCAAATTGAGGTAATTCACCTTTACTTCAAATGTGAACACTATTTTTAACATTAGCTTGAGTGGTTTATAACATGAATCCTTACTTTTTCCTACAGTAAGTCCTTCCATGATATCGCCAACTCTCCTTCATAATGCATTGATAGTTTCATATATCGGTAACCTTTTGTCTGCATTTTACATTACTCGATTACTTCAATACCCCATCTACCATTTCACTTTGTGCTTGATTTATTCATATCTGCTTATTCTGTACATGCATCTGATGTATAAGGAAATGCTTCATATGGAAATGTATTAAACCATTCTCACCCCCCCAATCCTTTGCCCGTTATCGTGGGGGGGGGGGGATTAGGAGACGAAGACAGACCCAATGCAGGGATCTCCCTGCCTAGGGCCTCAGCCCTTGACTCGACTAATTTTGCATGGTCTTTTCCCTCTCCAGCTTGTTTCCGCCTCTTCTCCATCCCCTTCTACTCTACTTCCTAAGGCGTGAGAGCCGTGCTGAGAGGATGAAAGGCTGACCTAATGCGTCCTGAACTGCCTGCGGGAACTATGGGCACGGTACTCCTGACTAATCTAACCCTTGCCTTCAGTAGCGAAAGGAGGTGGACCATTTAGGTCTTATTTAATCCAGGTTCCCCATGACCAGTAATGAAAATGTAATCCCTTTCTTAGAGGCAATGAGGCTTGCCCCTTTAAAAAGCCCCAACCCAGGCTCTCCTTTGACCACGGCTCCGAACACCAACTACAACCCACTCCTCAATGCCTACTAGTGCATTACCCACCCAGCAGAAAATCGATCCCCAGAAGACCTTCCTACCTACCCAACTTCCTCAAATTCAACAACTTTACCCAGCAACTTTCAAGCAAGCAATCCTCCTATTACTACCTTGCAGCCATATTCTCCATTCCGTAATACTCTCTTCCACACCATCCATCACCACCCAACATATATCTTAAATACTGTTTAGCCCAGCTAAATGGGACCGATTTTTCGTGATCTCTTCTACAGCTCCTTACTCAGGTAACTCTTCTTTCAACAATGCCTCCAAAAACCAGTAGGTAGTCCCTTTCTATACCAGACGCGACCGCCTCCGTCTTGTAACATCATATCAGAAACCATCTATAGCACTATCAAATTTAACTGATTCTGGCAACCCCATTCCTGTAGAACCTCCTCCAACCCTTTATATCTGTACCGGAACTCTCCCCCCCCCCCCCCAGCAAACTGCCCAGTCGATACCAAAGATTTTGTTAGGATGCCTCAAAGACCAAGATGTGAAATCAGTACATTGCTATACCATTCCTCCTAAAGGTCAACGAAAGAATCCGACCAACATTGCCAAAATTACCTTCCGTACACATGACCTTCCCTTACGTATTTAGTGGTGGACAATCCCTCCATGTTCGACCATACCAACCTCCTCCCGTCAATGTCAAAACTGTTGGCACTTTGGACATCCTGCCAAACATTGCTGTTCCACAGACCGATGCCCCATGTGTGCCCAACCTGGTCATAATCGATCAAACTGCTCAGCACGAACATGTGCTAACTGCGGCGGCCCCCATAATCTATTTTATAGAGGCTGCCACTTCATATTTGTATGAGTTGCTACTTCAGATTCAAACTTGGGTCTCACTTTACATGAAGCCAGACAGGAAGCACGTCAACAAGGTTTCTCTCATACTCCATACTCGAGTAACATCGTTCACTCAGCCCCTCCCCCTCCACCCCAAAATGTCCCCATTTCCACTTCTACATTCTAAATCCCTCAGACCAATTCTTTGCCACTTTAAACCCCGACACCCCAATCTCAACTACAGCCCCAACACCAACCCCTCTCCCTCCCAACACAACCCACCCCCTTCAACCCAAACTATAGGCACATTCTCCCTCCCTCCATCCCTCTATCTTTTGCACTCCCTCCCGGATACACACGAGAATCACTCGTCACAACAGTGCCCTTCCCCAAATTCCCTACCTCCTAATACCTCTCCTCGGTTTCTGTTGCCTCCAATGCAATGGATGCCTCTGGTGCCACGGATGCTGATGCCCCTGGTGCCACACATGATGCCTCTGCCTCCAGCCACGGATTCTTCTTCCAGTACCATGGCTGCCGGAGCTGTTGGTGCCACGACTGGCGGACTCCCGCCACGTTCTTCGCACACCACGTCAAACCAGCAAACCCACAAACTAGGTACGACACACGACAGAAACGCTGGAATGGCCCTGAGATCGAAGCCCACCGGAACCAGGAAAAAACAGCTGTGAGTGAAAAAGTAGATAATATCGACGTGATATTTATGTAAATATTTCCATTATGGTACTGTTGGACAATCTACCCTTTTATAACATTAATGACGATGATTTAATCTGTCTTCTATCAGATTCACCAAACCCTGTAATCTCATTAGACATTTTAGAAACTCTGAAATATAATAACTTTACATGTGATAACGATGTCGAATTTTCAAATGATGATCCTGACTTATTTATAGAAAATTCGCTCGGGATGACCGATCCATTATGCAACTATGTATTCCCTGGAGCAGCAAATTGTAACTCTCACATCCACAGTAATGCTAAAGAGCATCAAGTCAGCATCTTAAGCCATAACATAAGATCTGCCCCGGAACATCTCGAGACATTACTAGCGGAATGCATAGTTCATAATGGTGAAGCCTTTGACATTATTGGATTGTGTGAAACCAGACTAAGTAATGATATTCAACATTTATTTGAAATACCACAATATAATGCTTATTTTAATAACCGGTCTAGGAAAAGCGGTGGTGTGTCTCTGTATGTACATGAGAGACTCAACTCCGTTCTCAGAACTGATCTCACTTACAGTGAAAATGCCATTGAATCAGTATTTGCTGAAATTAAAACACCAACAAAGAATGTTCTAGTTGGGGAGATTTATAGAAGGCCAAAAAGTAATATTCATAGCTTCATGGAAAAATTAAGTGATATCCTCACAACTGCATGTTCTGAAAACAAACTATGCATACTTGCTGGAGACTTTAACTTGGATCTTTTAACTTGTTCGACAACCATGCAAGAATTTGTTGGTCTCCTCAATAGCAAATTGTTTTTTTGTGTCACAACGAAGCCAACTAGAGTAACTGCTACATCGGCCACCATTCTCGATCATATCTGGACAAATGAAATCAACAGATCCAAAACTAACGGTATAATTTACTCTGACATAACAGACCATTTTCCCATCTTCTCGTACATTAGCCTTAACAACCTAAAATCGAGTGAGACGAAAGTTATTGAATATAGGGAGTTCAGTCCAGCAAATATTGATAAACTCAGAGAGCAGTTATCCCAAGTATCATGGGATCTTGTATATTCAGCATTAAATCCTGAAGTTGCATATGAAAACTTTGAAACTATTATAAGTGCAAGCTTCAATAAGTTTCTCCCTTTAAAATCAAAGATTATAAAAAACAAACACATCAACAAACCTTATATCAACAGAGAACTAAAAAACTTAATTAATTATAAAAATAAAGTACAGAGGAAATATGCCAAATGGCCTTTGACCTACGGAGAGGAATATAAAAGGCTCCGTAATTTAGTTACCCGCAGGTTAAGGGAAGCCAATCTAGATATTTTTCTGAAAAATTGGAAGAAAATGCAAAGTAGTAAATCTCAATGGAAGGTTATTAATACAATTTTGAACAGAGGAAAGCAATCGCAAAAAATCACACTAAAAGTCAACAACGTTGAAGTTACCGACGCAACAGAAGTAGCTAACCACTTCAACGAGTATTTCTCTGCTGTTGGATTAGAACTTGCCAGATCAGTTGAACCCTGCAGTCATAATTTTTTAGAATTTCTTGGTGACAGGATTATAATAATTTCACAATTGAGCAAATTACAGAAGCTGAACTCATTAACATTAAAAAAAATTGAAAAATTCCTCTCCAGGCAAGGATGATATTTCAATGACGATCATCAAACACATCCTTCCAGAAATCATTTTACCTTTATTACATATCATAAACTGCTCACTAGTCT